ACACATCGATGATTCTTTTTACAAAAATTTGAGTGAGGCTGCCAAGTATACATATGGAAGAATTTTTCTAAAAAAAAAACATAAGTCAAGATGCTAACTATACACATAGAGGAATTTTTTAAAATTTATTTTCTGATTGTGATTAGATAGAGGATTGATTTTTAAATTTCTGATTTGGACATACACTTAGATACTACATGTACGCACTCATGGAATTCACTAACTTAAATTAACTTTTTATGAGCTAGTTGTGTTACTTTCATTATTGGTTGTTTCATCAGGGTAGAAAAGTTTTTTCTCTATTATGGTGCCTTCTCGACACTTCTTCTAATTTTCAATCCTTCCAAATCCTTCCCTTTTCTTTTGGCTTGATGAAAATAATGATTGGTCTTCTTCTACCAATGATCATATGCTTGTTGATAACAAGAATATCACTTGACTTTATGGATATCTTCAACAAACAATGGCAGATCTAACTATTGTTGAATTTGTCGATAGCTTTCCCTTGGAAAACCCTAAAGGAAAGCCCATTCGCTCCTTGCTAATTAAACATCATGAGAGGTGAGAATATCTCTTCTTCTTCATGGTATTTTGGACTTGGCTCGACTAGGGAGCAATTGTACAAACCAAATATATTTGTTAGTGAGAGAAAAGTGAAATCCTTCTACACTCCCAATAAAATTTCAGCAAATCAAATTTATGACCATCATTAAGCACACATTAAGGCAGATTGGCATTTCTTCATAGAATTAGTGAAAGAAGGAATTATTTGTATCACAACTTATTCCTAAAAATGCAAAGACCAAGTAGCTTATATATTTTACTAAGAGGCTCACATTAGCATGTGCGTCCCAATTGCTTTCAATGAACCCAATTTTGATATACATTTGTTTTGGTTATTTAAAACTGATTTTTTTAAAAAAAAATTAGAATATTAATCCATAAAACGTAATTTTTGCAAATGAAAACAAAAGTTGCTTCTAGGAAATTGGACTTCTTAATTATAGCAAGTTTATTTTCCATCCATATGGAACTACCTGGAACTATACATTACTTTGATGCAACCCATGAACTTGTAGACTATAAGAAACAATGTTATTGAATGACCTAATAACAAGAGAAAGAATTAAAAGGTAAAGTGATATATTAGAAGTCCATATCCGACATTTTTCTTTTTTGATAAACCATATCCAACATATTGAAAGGCCCAAAAATAGTCATTATATGTGCATGGATGAAGTAAATGGGCCTCGTTCTAAACTAGTCAACCTCAAATAGGAATATGAAGAGCCCAAGTAGAGAGGAAGACAGGAAGACATGAATAGTAACTAGGAGTGCAATTTTGGACTAATTTAGGGAACAAGAAAATGCATCTATAACTCCTTTTTGGCAATTTGTGCATCAGGTTCAAGGCCATTTGTGTGCACACATGATGGAATTGTGTACTATTATGATATATGTAACATTATGAATTTTTAGCTTAGAAGCTCAAGAATATGCCAAACTTCAATAAGCTACTAAGCTCAAGTAATCAAAAGTCCCTAAGGTGACTTGAAAAGAAAGAATGATTATTAGTGACCAAATGGTAATTTTAAAGTTTTTCTTGGGCAGAAGCGTAATATTTTTACATATTTCAAGAAAGTGTCCAAAATAAAGAAATGAGCAAGTTGAAGTTCAGAAATATCCAGAATATGCTCAAAAGAAATAAATAAGGTCTAAAAAGGCAATAAAGATATCTAATTAAATAAAGATTAGTGTTATTTGATAACTTTATCCTTATGTCCTAAATCTTCTAGAAAAGAATCACAGTTAAATTCTAAGGATCATAGTAAATCCAAAAAGGGTTTAGTGAGATTACAATAAGATCTCAAGATCACAGTTAGATCTTTTAGTCATAATAAACCTAATAGAAAGTTACTGAATCATAGTGTATACGATAGTTCTCTAGGAATATGATGGTCTATAATGAGTTTAAAAGATCAAGACCTCTTAAATTTTAAGCACTATTATAGAGAGAGTATTCTTAACTTTTTCTTAGATATCTCAACTACTATTAAGGCCGAGAAAGGAAAGAGAAAAAAAATGATTAAGAGTAATAACCTATCTGAAGCTAAATAGTAATTATTAATGTTCAAAGTTAATTATATGTAATTAAATACAATGAGAGTATTAAAAAGTACCCAAATTTAAAAATGAATAAGACTAAACGTTGAATTCAAAAAGGGTTTAGTGAGATCACAGTAAGATCTCAAGATCGCAATTAGATCTTTTAGTTGCAATAGACCTAGTAGAAAGTTACTGAATCATATTGTATACGATAGTTCTCTAGGAAGATGATGGTCTAGGATGAGTTTAAAAGACCAAGACCTCTTAAATTTTAACAACTATTATAGAGAGAGTATTCTTAACTTTTTCTTAAATATCTCAACTACTATTAAAGCTGAGAAAGGAAAGAGAAGAAAAATGATTAAGAGTAATAACCTATCTGAAGCCAAATAGTAATTATTAATGTTTAAAGTTAATTATATGTAATCAAATACAATGAGAGTATTAAAAAGCACCCAAATTTAAAAATGAATAAGACTGAATGTTAACCTGAAAATATCAAGCTCAACCAAGGTTAAATGTAATTTCTAAAAATTTAAGGTCTTAAAGTGTAATTACAAAAAATAACCCAAAATTCATGAAGAATTAAAGGAAATCAGTTTATAAAAAGGAATAAATATTTGGATGAATTATGTCAATTTCATTGGTTAGAAATTGCTCAAAAGAATTGCTTTACAATTTAAATTGCATTAGGTTAAGATAATACTAATTTCTCCTATGTCAAATAGTTAATTTTAGCAAGAGCCCATTTTAAGCCCATTTGGAGGGAGTAGTGACGTTAATTTGGATCTGAAATGCAAGAAGAAGTAAGGCATTATTTACATGGTCCAAAATTGATTAAAATATTGGCTAGAATAAAAATAAAAAATTAGATATTTTAAAATTCAAAGATTATCAAAATTGATACAATCTTTCTCTAAAACACCACCACACCCATTTCTTCTTCCTCATTTCTTCTTCCATGGATTTGCATGAGGTTTAGAGAGAGAAAAGGAAAATCAACCAAACTTACCATCAAACCCACATTTCTACCTCAAAGTCTCTTCACAAAAGTTGTTCCTCTCATCAAGAGGAACATTTATATGATTTTAGTTTTTCAAGAGGATGAGTTTGGAGTGGCATAGATGGAGGAAGTAATGAAGAGAGCAAGAATAAGTTAGTATATTGAGAAGAGGTATAGAAGAGCTTCTTTTTAAGCTATTTTTCATAATTTTTGCTTGAGTTTTCATGGTGATGAGATGCTGTCCTGTTTTTCTAAAGATAATAAGGCTTGATATTTTGATGATTAAATGATAAAAAATGGCTTATAAATGATTATAGAGATGATTATTAATGAATGGTGGCTTGATTTCAAAGCTTAATGTAATTTTTGGATGGCCAATTTTTAAGGAGAAATGCTACCCAATTTTCTAAAGAATTAAGCAATTATTAGTTAAGCATTTAAGTTTATGAAATATGATTTAGAACCTAGCCTTGAGACACATACATATGAAGCATGAAAATAGCTTGAAAGAAACCATAATTTAAGATCACAAATACCCAGAGTTACTATCAAGGATGGTTCAAAAGGAAGGAGTTAGAATTGGTCAAATTTGAACTTAAAAATGAGTTCCTTATGAAAAATTGAGTAGGAAAATGTTGGTACAAGAATTTTATGTCAAAGGAAAAATAAAGTGAAAAAATTAAGATAATAAAAGCAATAATTAAATAAGAGTAAGTTGTCATTTATTGACAATGTAATTATTAGCTCTAACAATTGTCATAAATATTCTATTGAAAATATTTAGGGTCAATGAGTGTCATGGAAAAAAAATTGGAGGTTTAATCATGGGGGATCAAATGGAAGCAAGGAAAACAAAGAAGAAATACTAAATCTAAAAGGTAGTAAACTTACCCTTCATTACATGCTTGGTATTTATGCTTGCATGATGATATGTATGATTAGTTTTTTTGATTCTATGAATTATGAATGAATGTTTGAAACCTTGTTTTTAAGTGTTTCATGGTCCATGTATGATGTATGAGCATGTAACATGTCAATATGTTAGTTATGAAGTCATATAATGCAAGTATATGTTATGTATGAAACTTTTACCTTGTATGCTTGAATGATATTATTTACTACTAAAGTTCTCTCGAATCTCACCCCCAATGACTCACCATGTTAGGTTATAAGCCTCTAAAGAAAGAGCTAGAGCAAGAAGCAAATGTAAGTAGAATAGGAAAAATATTTTTCCTATGGCATTACTTTTATAAAAATGAGAAATGTATAAATAAGTCCATAAGCTATGTAAATTTACGATGAGGTTTGGTATGCATAATTGATATGTGCTGATGTATGATGACCAATATAGAGTCCTAAACTAGCCTTGAAATCATGATTTTAATATGTATGATTGTGATTGTTTAGCTTAAACTCTTTTTAGAGGAGGGTTACTATTTTATTATTTAATGTATAATAACCCATATTCAATGCTCATGAGAATTTTTATGATAAAACTTGACATATATAGATTTCTAAAAAGTCCTAAACCAGATCATTTGGACATGTACAACTTGAGTTATGAATTTTTCAAATTATGGCATAGATTCTGTCAAAGAAATAGAGCAAATTTAAAAAAATGAATAAAATGTACTATTTGAAACTAAAAAGGGTTTAAAATGTATTTTTATCACTTAAATGACTTTAGTAGCTTTCAAGATATGAATTTTCTAGATTTAGTTATGAACTTTTAAAGTTCAGCAAAAATTCTAAACTTACCAAATAAGCAATAATCCGGTGAATAATTTGTGAATTTTAATTTATGAGCTTCAATTTCCATTTCTCCTGAACCATATCACTCCCAATTGTATTGGGAAAGTTTTAAAAATTAGGATTTGACAATATATAAATCAAAATGAATCACTGGTTTATTCCATATAAAAGGCTATACAATACTCACATGCAACGGCTAGTTGAGGAAGCCAGATAATGATGTTTCTTCCATAAGGAAATTAAATATAAAATTGTCACAATAATGGTACCCTTGTTACATATGATTCACATGTCAAAGACACCTCAATGATCATTAGCAAAAAGACTCTTCACCATTGCATTTTGGACTTGCTCTTGAGACAAGAAGCAACTGCATTGCACAAACAAAATATATCCATGTCAGGGCCAAAAAACAATTGATGAAATGCACCAGATTTGCCAAGCCACACAAATTGATCAACAAACAAGGATTCAAGGAAGTTGACAGCACTGCATTACTGGACTACGAAAAAAGAGAGGCATTAAATATTATATCAAGGTAAGGATAAGGAGCAAAATAAATATTTTGAAACTTTCTTCATGATAATCAAAGCTGAAGAACAAAAATTAAAGAGATAATAAAATTTTTAATCCATTAAATTTGTCTCTATTATTGATTTAGGCTTTTTAAGTTTAATTTTGATTTATTTATTTTTTTATATTTTTTAAATTATCATTTTATTAGTTACTTACGTTTCAAAACACAAATTTATTCCGTCAAAACATTAATGAAGTCTATGAACAAGGCGCAGCCCAACAAACTTAAGCCCAAGATAATAACACATGGACCAAAGGGTTCAGTCTACTAGAATTGAGAATCCATTTGATGGTATTCATTTGTTATTGTTCATTATTCATTGTGCACACGGCCTCTGTATAAAGCTCTAGGGTTTTCAGTATCTCCTCTATATAAGGAATAATTAGCCTTGGGTTTTGTGAACAATATATTACACTTTCCTTCTTGATATTTTCTCATCCCAAATTAATATATGAAGTATTTTAATAACTCAATATGTATATGTTAGTAAATGAAAATAAGTTAACTTTTAAATTAGTTTAATTTTTATTAATCTAGTACCTGATACAACATTTTGTTCTTTTTTCTTTAAATTTCTAAGTCTTTTTTTTTCTACCAAAATAATTTCGTTTTTTTAATTTTGTTATTTATGCCAGCAAAGTTTTACATGTTACATCCTATTTATACAATAAAGACTAAATCAATAATTAAAACAACTTAATGAACCAAATTCATAAAAATTAAACTTGAAAGACTAAATTGATAATAAAGCAAATTTGAAATATTAAAAATTTCATTATCCCAAAATTAAAACACAATTCTAGTGTTCAAAAAGGGCAGTTTTAGCCCAACAAAATTTTAATCCACTTTACACTATGCAAAAGAATAATTAAAATTTCAGGCACATTGAATAGAATGAGCACAAATTTATTTTCACATGTTAGGGGAAAGAGCAAGACAACTTAGCACAAGGACAAAATCTCACAAGTCACAAAATAAAATATTCAAAATATGTTAACTGACAAAAATCATAAAATTTCAGCAGTCATTTACAAACTCTCAATTATAAGTCATGCACAGACTAACACACCTGTCAAAACAAAGTAAGGCAACAAAATTATACCGTAAAAAATGATGAAGATTTATTTATTAGTCATAAAGGAGACACTGCAAACAAGAAATGATAATGGACAAATTAGCTTAAGGTCAGCCTAGGGTGATCCATTAAGACTTCATATCTTACATAAATTGAAATACTATCAACAAGCTTTGTGTTTTGCTCTTTTACTTCCTCCAATCCTATATACGATATCTTACCTATAACTTTTTTTTTTTTTGGCCTGAAAATGCACTTACTATATGTTGATAATATACTAGAGTTTTACAAAATTAAATGCAGCATTTGAATAATCTTAAAAAATACCTTTGTTTATTTCACTTTTGGTTTAACTAACAGATATAATTTGATTAAAGGTAATCTTCAAAAGTTGTAAAAAGTTTTCGCATGTAAATAGCTTCATTAATTTCACAAAAGTTTCACATACTATAAATAAACAACAATTTATTTTATTCCAAAAACGACCTATTTTATAATCACACAAATTACGTTAGAATTTGTTATCAGAAGTATATGAAAATTATATAGAACAATTTGGTGATTCAAAAAATATTATCCTCACAAATAAAATGTAAATACAGGATCAATCAATAAATAGAAAGTTAAAACAAAGTAGATAGCAAAAGTACACTCTTAAAAAAAAATTACATCTATCTCCAACAAATATATGTGTGTGTGTTGTTTTGTATGTGTTGTCGGTATAATCTACAATAGTTATTATACACATTAGAGTACTATACTGTATAAAAACTATGTAGAGAAATAATAAACAAAACACACACACACACACACACATTAAAGAATTGTTAAAAAAAAATTGGATGAAATTTGGACAAAGGCATACTTATTTCTTCAATAAGGTGTAAATATTGAAATAATAGATACGATATTGTAAAATAAATCACCACTTTAATTTAGTATATCTAAGCGTAGAAGAAATATTTGATTACTTTTTTTTTTAATCAAGAGTGATTTTAAGATAATAGTAGTGAAGGTGAGCTTATAAATAAAAAGCAAAGAAGGGAGAGACACCTGCAAAGACATATCAAAGAAACTGTATGTGTGGGTGGTGATGCTTTCGTTTGCTCTTGCGAATAAATTTCAGTTGCAAGGGGTGACAGGTTAAGTCGTCATGGGATTTGTTGGAGGGAGTCGTTCTTCATCCGAGTCCGACTGTGAGTTATATGTCACATGCACTCCACATGCTTTCATTGGAACTTTCTCTACCTCTCCATTATCTTGATAAACATCATTGCAATATCCCGCATAGAATTCACATGAAATCTTGGCAACATTACCTGTTCCACCGCCAAATGAAGCCCTTCCCAATTCCAGGTGCCATATGTAAACATGAAACGGCTCGATTTTATGCCCACAATAAGAAGGAAATGAATTGCAGAACTTGTTGCTATCATCATAAGAGAAATCACAATAGATCTGCTGCACGGAAGGTAAGCAGAGATGAGGAGGAACAATGCAGCAACACAAGATGGTTGGTGATCGTTCGAGATTGCAAATGAATTCAATAGCATTGGAAGCCTCTGTCTGATGTTTATATTCCATCCATTCTGGAACTCTGCTTCTCGGGTAACAAGCCCCAACATGAAGAAGCCACTTAGCCTTACAGGCTGAAGTCAAAGAGAAATGAGTTAGTTTCTCAATGAAGCGAAGAGAACACTCATCCAACTTTATACACTCCTGGAAATCAAATTGACACTGATTTTAAACTAGAGAGTCAGAAAATACGATCTCCAATGAAGTGCATCCTTCAGCATCTAAATCTTCAAGGAAGGGAGGAAGTCCAAGTATAGACTTAAGCATCTCACAGTCTCTCAGGGAAATGTGTTTCAAGCTTGTTAAGGCCTTGATATTGTCAGGGATTTCCAGCAAGTAACTGCATCTTACCAAACTTAGTATTTTTAAATTACGCCAAGCATCAAAAAGAGAGCGCAGCTCTGTTGTATGAATCACCTGCTGGAAATCCCAAATTTCAAATGCCTCAAGATTTGTCAAGCCACATAGCTCACTTATTGGAAGGCTCCTCAATCTTTCACCAAAAATCTCAAGATCTCTGAGTTCCGTGAAACCTCCCATTGGTAGAAAATGCAATATTTCAACTCCAGTCCCATCGAAACACAAACTTCCCAATTTCTTTGATGATAAAGAGAATTTCTTGAGGCTTTGACAATCATGAACACCAAGGTTAGAGAGAGATTCTAAATAAGTCTCACTTTCAGGCTCTCTAATTCCCTGCAATTAGAGACATCCAAGTCAACAAGAGATTGGAGAGATAAAATAGATGGATGAACACTATGTAGACTTTCACAACCCCCGAGATAGACTATTTCAAGATTACGTGCCATAGAAAAATTAGGCAGCTCCACCAATTGTTTACACCAAGGCAACCATAATGTCTTTAAATTCACAAGATCCTTTGACAATGAACGGAAAAGTTTTACACATAAAAGCCTAACAATTTAATTAAATTGAAGAGAGAGACACACACATACTAATTAGTGTGTGTGTATAAGTACCTGCACTCCATCCCAAAGCTTTTTAATATTGCTGTGTGCCATACGAAGTTCAACAAGGTTCTTAGCACAAAAGCCCAACGACAAAGACTCCAGTGGACATTGTTCCCAATAAAAATACCTTAATTTATTAGGAAAAGAGGCATGATCAAGACTCTTTAATTTCCCACAATGAGAGAGATCCAATATAACAAGAGATTGAAGAGATAAAATAGATGGATGGACACTCGTAAACTTTTACATCCCGAGAGATCTACTTTTTCAAGATTATGTGCCCTAAAGAAATTAGGCAGCTCCATCAATTGTCTGGACCCCCTCAAATCTAATATCTTTAAATTCACAAGATCCTGTGACAATGGAAACGGAAAAATTTTTTAGCATAAAGCCTAATAATTTAATTAAATTGAACAAACACACACCTCAATTAGTGTATATATATAAGTACCTGCACTCCATCCCAAAGTTTTTTAATATTGCTGCGTTGCACGCATAGCACACCAAGGTTCTCAAAACAATAGCCTTCTAATGGCAAAGACTCCAATGGATATAGATCCCAATGAAAATAACTTAATTTATTAGGAAAAGAGCCAAGATCAAAAGGAAGCTCTGAATTATTTGCATCATAGTACCGAAACATAGGACAAAAAATTTTGAGAATTCTTAAATTTTTCATCTTTGTGAAGGTATTAGGGCTCAATCGTAAATGATTTATTCTATTCCAATCCAATATGATGCCTTCAATTTTATCAGTTCCCTAAAAAAAAGACAAAATAAAAATAATATTAATTATTTAAAAAATTTATTCCAAAAGGATAAAAATAAAAAATGATATATATTTCACTTACCTTGTTCCTTTGCAATACATTACAAATTTCATCCGCATCATTTAATCGGCTACGTAATGTAGGATCTTTCTTACATTCCACATGAACTATTTGCTCAGCCACTTGTCGTATCAAATCATGCATTTCAATACTTTCATCATGCAACCAACCTGGTTTTATGAGAGATTTATCCATGAGATTTTGGATTCCACTAACTGCTTTGAAACCACAAGATTCTAGTGCCTGAGTAACGCTATCTTTTTCTTCTCCAATGAAAAAAAATGCAATGTCTAAAAATATTTCCTTATCCATGTCATCTAATTCATCATAACTAACTTTCAATATATTTTGAATTTCTGGACGGGGATACTTTCTGAGTTTCTCGAGCTCACTCTCCCAGTATGCCTTATCTCTAGAATGAAAATGGGAACCCAAAACTTCTAAAGCTAGAGGAATGCCTTTAGCATAGGCAACTGTCATTTCTGATAGCTTTTCATATCCCATACTGGGGTGAGTTTGCTTGAAGGCATGTAAACTAAAAAGTTTTAGTGATTCTTCAAAATTCAACTCCTTGACTTCATGTATATATTCATCATGAATCTCTCCACTCCTAAAAACATGCTTGTCTCTACTTGTTACAATTACTCTACTGCCAAGTCCCAAGTAAAGTTGCTGTCCAGCTAGATCTTTTAATTGCTTTGAATCGGACACATCATCAAGCACAATCAAGACCTTTTTCCGTGACAGTCTTCTCCTTGCACCATCCTCATCTATGGTGACATCTTTGTCTAGGTGTAATAGCTTAGAAAGAAGCTTTTGACGCAAGCGACTCAAACCATCGATCCTTGTTGATTCCTCTCTCACATTTTCTAAGAAGCAACAGCTTTCAAATTGAGAAGAGAATTTGTCAAATGTAGCTCTAGCCAAGGGGTTTGCCTATGCCACCAACACCCCAAATACCAAGAACTCGAACTTCTTGTGACGTAATTTTCATTAATGATTCAACAATGTCGAGATTGTGATCAAATCCAACAAGCTGGGATTTTGGCACAACTAGGTTGTTATCTTTCAATTTTTTTAGGACATCTTGGACTATTGCATCAATGAGCTGTGATTCGTTTCTAGCATGTTGAAAATAAAAGAAAAGAAAATTATTACGAGCTACTCATTATATAAGAATAATAAATGCATAGACATAATTTGGTATTACCATATTCTAAATCATTTGGGGGCAACTAAGAAAGGGCTTTAGAAACTCTATAAAATGATGTATTGAATAACTAAAACGTACTGAAAATTTGATGAATGATAACCAGATAAGTCTGCGGTTTTCTTCAAGACAGATCTCCAATTTTTCACTCGTTTGAGTTATCCTTGAACTTCAGTTCAAGATGTGCTAATGCATCTGCATAAGTTCGTTTTTGACGCCTGACATCTGAAGGATCTACACAATAGAAAACTGGTAACACAATTTGTCCGCTTGCTTCCTTACATTCTATGATTTTACAAGCTCTTGCAAGCACCACTTTGAAGAAGCATAATCTTTGGAGAATATGACCAACGCAATCATTGATCCTTCTATGGCTTCCTTAAGTGCCAATGATATTCCATCCCCTCTCTCAAGCCTGTCATCCACATAGACATCTATCTGCTTTCCATGCAATGCCGTTGTCAAATGGCTGAGAAAACCAAATCTGGTGTCTGAACCCCGAAAGCTGATGAAAACATCATATTTCACTCGGGAAGAAGAAGCAGAAGCAAACACAGCCATTGCTGAGGCACCAAAAACAAAAGAAACCAAAGTTTTATAGGTTGTTGATTTTACAAAGACACAGAAAGAAAAGCGTTCAAGTTGTTAGGGAAGAAGGGAGAAAGATCAGAAGAATACCTTGGTGGGAGTAACTAAATCAAATCAAAGGTTGAAGTCTTGAAGTTGATTGGGCGAATTTGCTTATCCTGCGAATTAGATCAACACAATAGAAAAATGAGTCTCTGAGTATATTGAGCCTTTGTTCAATTGAAGTTAACAGGAAATTTCCAGGAAGTAGACAAATGAGTCAATGAGCCTTGACTGGTGAAGCATTGTTTTTTTGAAAGATAAAACTGTCGGTGGAAATTTCTTGTTTAAAATAAGAAGAAATTTCCACGAAATAATGAAAAACTTTGGTCCCCAGCTCTTTTTGACTACAAGTCAACATCCCTTTTTCTTTTGAGTTTTTCTTGTTTAAAGTAATTAAAAACTTTTAGAAAGTCTTGAAAATAAATTAATTAAAGAAGAAAGTGAGTAGCAATTTCAAAGAAATATGAAATTTATCTTTCCTGATTCTTTTTGACTCAGTCAAAATGTGTTTTTTTTCCGTTTTTTTTTTTGGTTCGTTTTCTGGTTTTCAGACACGGTTTATTGTACTATGAAGTAGGATTTTCCATGAAGATGTAACAAAAATGGGTCTGTACAAAGATTGTTTATTTGTTTCCCACGTCCAAATAAGAAAAAAAATATTTCTTTTTTGTTTGATTTTAAGGGGCTTTACCGCAAAATTTCTTAATTATTGTTCCCTCCCATTATAATATATGTCATCAGCTAAAAATATTATTTTATCTAAAATATAAGATATTAAATATTTGTTATAATTATTTTTAAACTATATCCTTACTAATTCATTTATTATTTTATAAAAAATGATATATTAATTAATAAATTGCCATTATCAAAACACTTATATAGAGTATTTAATAAGGATATGATTAAAAATGTAATTGTTTTTAAGGTTTTACCTAAATTTTTTTGAGAACCTTGAAGTAATTACTTATTAATATCTTATATTGTGATTAAGAGAAAGTATGTGATAGTAATTAACAATTAACTATTGAGAATATATGACAATTGAATAAGTGAGGCTCTAACTTTCTTAAAAAACCAAGGTCTTATCATGAAATTACAAAATTAATCACAGAAGAGTAAGAGTAAAGTTGTACTAGTACATATGATTTAGTACATTTCCTATGCTGTTACACACACACACACATTTAGAAGACTTAATTTAATGTTATTTTTTAAAAAAATTAATCATTTAATTTTTATAATTTTAACTTAGTTGTAACTCAATCTCTAAACTTTGATTCGTTATAATTCAGTCTTTATAGTTTTAGCTCGGTTGTAACTCAGTTTCTAAACTTTGCCTCTTACAATTTAGTTCCTATAGTTTCAACCACTTAAATATCGATCCCTATATTTTAAAAAAATAGAATTATAAAGATTAAAAATATTTTGAATCTTTATTATTTATAATATTTAAAAATTAAAAGATTAAAATTATAATATTTTGAAATTTTAATATTTATAATATTAGTAAAAAAATTATAAGATTATAATTATGTTAAAAAATTTTACTAATATTTTAAATTATTAAACCCTTTAATATTTATAAATATTAAAGGCTTAAAATATTTTTAATCTTTACGCTTTTATTTTTAAAATATAAGAATCAATATTTAAGTGGTTAAAACTATAGGGACTAATTGTAAAAGGAAAAGTTCAAAAATTGAGTTACAATCGAGTTAAAACTATAACAATTGAGTTACAATGAGTCAAAGTTTAGGAATTGAGTTATAATTGAGCCAAAATTAAATAGACTAAATAATTAATTTTTTCTATTTTTTAGAAGGTATTTATGTGTATTTTATGGATTTTTTCATTTTTGAAGTTATTTTTAAGTCAACTAATAATCAAAATTAACTCTTTTAATGACCTTGTGTTTAATGTATTATTTGCAAATTTTAAAAGAGGAATTATACCATATGAAAGTTTAAAATATTAGATACTCCTAAATGAATAGCAGAGGGGTAAAAATAATCATTAACTTAATAATAATCATAATAAATTTATATTTAAGAATCCAAACTATAATAAATAAATATGGGTACTATTGAAACATAAAATTAACTAATCTAACTTCAATTATATTAAGACAATGAGCTTTTCAAAATTTTTCTTGCATTAAGAACGTAAGAGAATAATGAAGGACTTGTTTAGCTTTTATTCTCACTTTTTGTTTATAAAATTATTTTGTAAACCAATTTTTGAAAGTTGTTTTCAAAAAAAAATAGAAGTATATTTAAGTAGCTTAATTTAAAAACAATCTAAAAATAAAAATTTGCCTAATAATGACAATAATTAGTGGCTAATGAGTAATGATGGTAGTTTATGATAGTGATTGGTGAAATGATTATAATTTTAAATAATCAAATTTAAAATGTATCTTGTAAAACATGAAAAATAAAATAAAAAATAACCTTAAAATGTTTCTATTTTTTTTAAAAAGAAAAAAATGAAAGTAATTTAGGAAACAATTAAATTTGTAACACTTATTCATATGAGTTTTAAAATTTTTTATTTTCAAAAATAGAAAACAAATTTTA